CCCAAGCCCCCGAGGTCGGCGACTTCCGAGACATAATCTCGCCGCACTGCAACCGCGGGCCATTCGGCACACCCACCCACCTACTGTAGACTATACGATTCCACACCACATTACCAACAGCAATCATGTTTGAACTCCCAGAGCAAAGAGGTTGGTTTCCCCCCGCCCAAGCTCTGCGCCCTTCCTCTCTGAGGAGTCTTCGAGAACGCCACGTGCTGACGACAATACCTTCCACATAGAGTCCGTCGCGAAGATCTCCTCGACTCGGCATCTGATGGTTCCGATGTAGACCAGGACGACCAGCACCATGCCGCCCTAAGGGCTCGCCTCGAGGCCCAACTCGCAAGCGCCTTTACATTCGCCCTGCCCGATACTCCATCGTCTACACGTGCACCAGCTCCCGCCGCAGACCAGGATCCGGACGGAGAGGCGCAGCCGGATCAGGAGAAGCATCAGAAGCAGCAGGACGCGGAGGAAGAGGAAGAGTTTGAATTCAGGCTCTTCAGCTCCGCCAAGCCAGCAGCAAAGGTCATCCTGCCCGACGATGACGAGGGCGCGCCGCGCGGCGAGGGGCGCCATGCTGCGGCGGCGGCCGCTGCGGTACTACCTCGTTGAACCCCTGACGGACGCACAGCGCGCCGAGGTCGAGTTCGCAGCTGTCAGCGCTGAGGATATCTTGGAAGCGGGCGCACGGCGTGCTTGGGGCATGGAGATGCCGTGGCGCGTGACACACATCGATGGCCCGGCTGGCGCGGCGACGAAGAAGAAGACAGCTTCATCGGCCACGGGCCTGCGAGAGGACGGCAAGAGGAAGAGACCGGGACAAAAGAAGAGGCTCGCGATGCGGACGAGAGAGAGGGAGGCGAAGAGGAAGGCTGAAGAGGCGGAGAAGTTGAAAACGAGCAAGGAGGAGCAGCTGAGGGAAAAGAAGAAGAGGCTGAATCGCCAGCGGAAGCTGAAGAGGAGAGCCAAGGCAAAAGAGGAGAGGGCTGCGGCGGGGTTGCCGAGCGATCATGAAGGGTCCTCGTCTGAAGGCGACGACTGAATCACGAGCTGCCTAGGCTGAGCACAACGGATGAGCTCGAATTCGCAAGCACACGCCCGACATGAGACGCTGCCTGCCTCACCTGTCTCGGAGGTGGAGGTGGAAAATACAACGTACCAACAGCAAAGATTTACGATTCATGAATTAAGTCCATATTCGGACATTGTCCTATGCATCTACTCAATCAAGTCAACGTCGCTACACGAGCTTAAAAAATGAGGCAGACTGTGGTCTCGATGACCTCTTGTTCGTCATATTTGCGATGGTCAGTCAGCGAGAGGGCAAAGGCCCATGACTCTCGGAAACTCTACTTCCAGGCACTCTCCGGGGTGGCATTGACGCTCCTTGGTCTGGTGATATCTTCTCTCGCGTGTCCGAGACGACAGGCAAGCCGAGCACGAAGAAACGGCGTAGTGAGAGTGACTATAAACGGCGGATGGCAGAGGCTGTTTCTGCCAGCCTATCATGGTTTGTACGAAGCAAATCCGGGCTCAAGATCACGAGCCCATTATTGCCAATCGAACGATATGGATGCTTTCTTCCTAGACTATAGAGTTTATGACAACAATGGATTTCATCCACAAGTTGGGGGTTGGAAAAGTATCCAGTGAATGAGAGCCCTGAAAAGAATTTGCACAATTCACTCCGTTGGTGCACGATCACGATCGGTCAGGGTTGGTAGGTTGGTACAGTCGACGCGCTCTCAACCTCAACCCGCCCGACCTCGACCACATGTTGTTCGTTCATCGTCCCAAGTACGTCAGGCCAGGCACAGGGACGACCACCTGTGGCCATAGCGAGAAGCGCGAGTTTCAAGCCGTGATCCTGTGCGCACTCAAAGCTAGGCAGGTAAAGGGGTGCTCTGTGTCCGAATTTCTGACCGGTTTCTTCCTCTGTTCGATTTTGCCAATGGGTGGAAGATCAAACCCAAGCGTTCCGGCGAACATGTATTTATCCGGGCGAATGCTTCGAATCGTAAAAGCTATATACAGTTGCCTTTTCTTCAGATCCACAAAGCTCTCTCCCTCTCTCTCTCTCTCTCACCCTCCTACGCCAACCGGCGACCTACACCCGCAACACTTGCTGGCTCAATAATAAGACTCACCGAGGTGCCTCACTTTCGACATCCCTTACCGACGCGCTCTTACAATTGCCCTTGGAGTGTTCGTTGTTAGCCCGAATCAGGGAGTGTCAAAGCTGGAAGGCAGGATATCCGTCGCATCGATGCCAATAAGGTTGGAGTCGCGGCGCGTCCATTCAGCCTGCTTCTTTCGAAATGGAAACGGTCTGAATCGAAGATTCGATTACCGTGTTGTCTGCCAAGGAACTTTTGCAAGCTACGACTCAGAGATCCACGAGGACACACTATTTTTCTGTCGAGGGCGCTGGCTCCTCGTCTACGGATCCAGTACATCACTTAACAACAATGCAGGGCTCACGATACATCTGGTTGCACCCAGTCATCACAGCACATGACGATACACTGACTGCTGGAAGTCTCTCACATCCACACAATCACAAGAGGTATACTTGCACGGGATTTCCGATCTTGGGATATTGTTCTATCTATTGAACTTGATGAGACTTGCTCCTTGCCGAGTGGCCACCACATGAAACACTTCGATGATGATGAATTCCAAAAGAGATACAAAGGTGGGCCATGGGCGACATTGCACTTTGCGAAACGGGAGAGTAAGGATTGTGCCGCATCACGGATTGTCTTCAAGAACATATCAAAAGGCGTCACAAAGGTATCAATATGTTTCAGCGGCACTTTGATGAATGCGAAAGACCATGTGGGGGCTCGACGGTTTCACAGTCAGTCGCTTTGCGGATGAGTAGGTCAGTCATCACCCGCGAGTATGCGAGATCACTCTAGCTCTGTTGAGCAGGATGCAACCATTGATTGGATTGCTCTTAAAAGGGTGTCATCAGGGCCGTCCGAAGACAATGATGATCTATCACCATGTTGCTGAGTCTTCGCAAGGGGAGGGGAAGAAGGGGAGGGAAAGAGAAGGGTGGACTGTCACAAGACGGAGAGGATTGAAGATGGCAGAGTGGATTATGGTGGACTAGCAAGTCTGAAGAGAGTGGGCTCAGGCGGGATGTCAGGCTTTTATCTGTTGGAAGGCTGCTGACAGTCACAGGCAAACTCATGAGCAACAGGGGGAGGTGCCAGCAATGCCTCCTTCTCAAGACATCTTCGTGACTCGACGGTCTACAACGCTCGGGAGAAGGAGCCCTATCATGCCAAAAGTCGCATCACTATTTGAGGGAAAAGGGGCTGCCAACAAGAGTGTTGGAAAGCTACCTTGCGCGAAAGCAGGTGGTACCCAGAGACTAAAGGTGCTGCTGAAGGCAGGAACATGCAAATGTCACGTCATCGAGATCAACAAATGGGTCAGGAGGCAGGTGCGTGCGGCCGACGGGATCTCAAGGAAAGGCCTCGTGGGATCCGTCATTTTTTGATTATAATGATGCACAAGTCATCGTAATACTTAAGGCTCAGACTACTACTATGAGGCGAAGTTGGAAGTTGTAATGTCAAAATACTTCCTATAGGGAAGCATCTGTGTGCCATTGCCGTTGGGCGCTTATCGTACTGGTGGGTTGCATAAGACTAGTACGACGACTTCATCATCGCAATGAAATGGAATTGCTGAGACTGTTTCCTGGGAATAGCTCACCAGATAAATTTTATTAGTGGAGCTATGCTAGGCTGTGTCACCCGCCTCTCCAATGCCTCAATTTCGAACAATTTTCACGCACGCCCATCATCAAGTGTCACGCAAGTGTTGATGCAGCGGTCTCACAGGCAAGTCCTAGTCAATGGCCTACAGATTGATATACGAGAATCTCGTCATTGCATATTATTGTCATTATATATCTAGTCGGGTTCCCTGGGCAAGACTGGTTCAGTATCGAGCACTCATCCCACCACCCCTTCCATCAGTTGACACGACGTCCGTACAGCGCGCGTATAGGGGTTCTGAGGGCGTCGTCGGTGCTGACAAAGGAGACATCCTGATGGGCTGTCGGCGCTCTCACGTGACCCGGTGGAGCGTGTGCCTGGACCCATCAAATGCCAGGCACGCAGTGGTGCCAGGCCAGATAGGAGAGGAGCTCCAGTGTCCCTTCCATCTCTCGACGACCACCCAGTGAACCTCTGCCGGGAGCGAAAAATTTCCCCAATCATCATCAGGCCAATACCTTTCTCAGCGCCCGCCCGTACACGACCATTGCCCGTCGGACTCTCTTCTTCCTCTCTGCTGTCCCCTTTTTTAGTGCGCATCTTCATTTAATAAATACCCATCACAATGTCTGCCACATTCAAGGCGATCTCGCCGTTCCTGCGCACGACGCGGGCTTCGCTGCGCACCGGCTACGCCAACCCCTTGGCCGCCGCCTTCAAGAAGCAGGGCGCGTCCCCCTTCTTCCGCACATACGCCGTCTACGCCCGTGACAAGCCGCACGTCAACATTGGTACCATTGGCCACGTCGATCATGGAAAGGTAAGCATCCAATCCGGCACCTGATGCTCATCCCGCGACGCCGCTAATATGCCCAACCTTCTCAGACCACCCTGTCCGCTGCCATCACTAAGCGCCAGGCCGAGAAGGGCCTTGCCAACTTCCTCGAGTACGGCGCCATCGACAAGGCCCCCGAGGAGAGGAAGCGTGGTATCACCATTTCCACGGCACACATCGAGTACTCCACTGAAAACCGCCACTACTCCCACGTCGACTGCCCTGGTCACGCCGATTACATCAAGAACATGATCACGGGTGCCGCCAACATGGACGGTGCCATCATTGTTGTTGCTGCTTCCGACGGACAGATGCCCCAGACTCGTGAGCACCTGCTGCTTGCCCGTCAGGTCGGTGTCCAGCGCATCGTTGTCTTCGTCAACAAGGTCGATGCCATCGATGACCCTGAGATGCTTGAGCTTGTCGAGATGGAGATGCGTGAGCTTCTTTCTACCTACGGATTCGAGGGTGACGACACGCCCGTCATTATGGGTTCCGCCCTCATGGCCATGAACAACCAGAAGCCCGAGATTGGTGCCAACAAGATCGATGAGCTGATGAAGGCTGTTGATGAGTGGATCCCCACTCCTCAGCGTGACCTCGAGAAGCCTTTCCTCATGTCCGTTGAGGATGTCTTCTCCATCTCCGGCCGTGGTACCGTCGTCAGTGGCCGTGTCGAGCGTGGTGTCCTGAGGAAGGATTCCGAGGTTGAGATCATTGGCAAGGGTGAGGAGATCATCAAGACCAAGGTCACCGACATTGAGACCTTCAAGAAGTCCTGTGAGGAGTCCCGTGCCGGTGACAACTCTGGCCTTCTTGTCCGTGGTATCCGCCGTGAGGATGTCAGGCGTGGCATGGTCGTCGCCGTGCCCGGCTCCGTCAAGGCCCACCAGACCTTCCTCTGCTCTCTTTACGTCCTCACCAAGGAGGAGGGTGGCCGCCACACTGGTTTCCACGAGAACTACAAGCCCCAGATGTTCCTGCGTACCGCTGACGAGTCTTGCGCCCTGACCTTCCCCGAGGGCACCGAGGATGCCGCTCACAAGATTGTCATGCCCGGCGACAACGTCGAGATGGTCGCCCACCTCCACGCGCCCAGCGCCATCGAGGTCGGTCAGCGCTTCAACGTCCGTGAGGGCGGCAGGACCGTTGCCACCGGTCTCATCACCCGTATCCTGAAATAAGCAGGATGTTGGGATAGGAGACGAGGAAGAAAAACGCAATCCAGCGTGGATGTGAAGATTTGAGCTGTCTCCAGGCGGCTGTCGCGAGATCAAGGGACATGCGGTGTACAAAAAGAAAGGATGAAAAAGGTGTTGGCTTGTTTTATGATCTCATGTACAACTACCCCCCGGCACCCCCCTTGGCGTCCCCCGAGGGCAGGCTGCTGTATATCGTCGCCGGGCGCATAGCTCTCCGCTCTATTTCACCCCTGTCTTGCACTGTACTTTAGATGGAGGCCTAATAGACGAGCTTCTGATGATTGAATTTGAAATCGCCGAGATCTGTGAATTGTTGCGTGTGCATGTGGAAGGATGCTGTGACAAAAGGAATTATCCGACTGGAGACACATTTACTGAGCCGGGTATTCCCGCTGCGATTGCGAAAAGGAGGGGCAGATTTGGTCGTGTGATTGTGAGGTTCCAGCACCCGAGGCACAGTATTGCAGCAAGCCATCATGTATCGTTGGGATTCGTCACCATGCGCCATCACCGGTTGCCCGTTTTCTGTCTTCAGATGCCGTAGTATTCGTCTATCCTCAGAGAATGTTCGGCAGAATGCCCTTCCGTCCGCACTTCCATGTAAAGCTGAGACCGCAAACTCCGTGCCCGCATGGGTCGAGGGGAAGCCTCCTCCTCTACCCTCCTCTGAGCGGTTTTCCACCAGGCCATCTCGGTGCCAAGATCCCCCGTTTAGTTGCGTAACATTCTCTCGTCCAGGGTCGTGAACATTTAGCGGAACTGGATTCATCATGTTAGTTTTTCGTGACAAGTCTCGTGCCGCTGGTGCAATTTGCAGTGGGTGGCAACATCGTGAGGGCGGTTCGGTAGTTGCATACCTTGTTGAAGCCGATGTCCTTGGCCTTCTCACGGAAGCACTGACGGCACAGGTTGAGGTCGTACTTGCGGATGAGACCAGCCGAGTGCTTGCAGACACGGCTATACATCCAAAAATCATCAGCATTTGTCCCCTCACTGAGCAATTGTTCCTCCCTCGGTCGACCGTAGGCCATCTCTTTGTGTTTTCCGCGGACCATCATGTCGATCGAGGGGGGTTGTGTAAAGTGGCGGGTTGCGGGCAGAGGCATACCAAGAGCGCGAGCCCTTGCCGTACGAGCGGGGGCGAGAGTTCCAGACAGACTCGTGAGACATGTTGGCGGTGGTTTGTCGAACGGGGGAAAGTTGACGAGTCGAGAGAGAGTTGGTCGTGGATTGGGGGGGTGGACGCGCAAAAGGGTGACTGCTTTGGAGGTTGAGCGGAAAACGGGTCGTTTCGGCGTTGGTCAAGAAATTTCGTGTGGGCGTGCGATTTTCGGGCAGGGGGTCGCCCATTGGAGCAGGGCTGCTGCCCAAGCGAGCGGCAGGTGGCCTGTGCTTTTTGAGGTCCAGTCGCGAGCCGCAATGGCTTATCAGCGATATTTGCTCACGTGACAGTAACGTGCTTGTCTGCACGGGCCATGCGTCTCTGGCCAAAGGTACCTCGAAGGCAGCTTGCTGGATTCGATAAGCGATAAGAGGTGTCCCGCCCGGTCGTTCAGCAAGGGTATGTGCTGTAGCAGCACTGCATTTCATGACGCTCGGGGAAAGCTGGCTTCTTCTGTATTTCAAAGCAGCGTGGACACCAATTCGCCTGCAGTCCTATCCCAAACTTCAGACCCTAAATAGATTTATTATTACTCTTCTGAACCCTGACCATCATGGTTCTTCTCAAGAGCTTCGTTCTCGGCGCTCTGGCCGCCACGGCGGCTGCCAAGTCGGCCGTCATCGACCTGATCCCCTCCAACTTTGACAAGGTTGTGCTCAAGTCGGGCAAGCCCACCCTCGTGGAGTTCTTCGCTCCCTGGTGCGGCCACTGCAAGACTCTGGCCCCTGTCTACGAGGAGCTTGCCCTCGCTTTTGAGAACTCCAAGGACAAGGTGCAGATTGCCAAGGTTGACGCCGATGCTCAGAAGGAGCTCGGCAAGCGCTTCGGCATCCAGGGCTTCCCCACGCTCAAGTGGTTCGATGGCAAGAGTGACACCCCGGAGGACTACAAGAGCGGCCGCGACCTCGACAGCCTGAGCGAGTTCATCACGACCAAGACGGGCGTCAAGTCCAAGAAGGCCCAGAAGCCCGTCAGCAACGTGGCCCTGCTCACCGACGCGAACTTTAAGAAGGCGATTGGCGGTGACAAGGACGCTCTCGTCGCCTTCACCGCTCCCTGGTGTGGACGTACGTTGTTTGTAGCACCCTCCCAGCACATCTCAGAGCTAACATGACTGTGCGTGCAGACTGCAAGAACCTCGCCCCCGTCTGGGAGGAGGTCGCTAGCGACTTCGCCGCCGAGGATGGTATCATCATCGCCAAGGTCGACGCTGATTCGGAGGGCAGCAAGAACACCGCGCAGGCGGAGGGCGTCACTTCGTACCCCACCATCAAGTGGTTCCCGAAGAACGGCGGCCCCTCGGAGCTTTACAGCAGCGGGCGCTCCGAGCAGGCGTTCGTCGACTGGATCAACGCGAAGGTCGGCACGCACCGCACCGTCGGCGGCGGGCTCGACGTCACGGCTGGCACCATCGCTGCGCTCGACAGCATCGTCGCCAAGTTCACCGGCGGCCTGTCTCTGGCCGAGGCCTCTGCGCAGGTGCAGAAGGAGGCTGCGTCGCTTGCCGAGCAGGCTCAGTACAAGTACGCCGAGTACTACGTCAAGGTCTTCTCCAAGCTCAACGCCAGCGAGGGCTGGGCCGCGAAGGAGCTGGCTCGCCTCGACGGCATCCTTACAAAGGGTGGCCTTGCGCCCGCCAAGCGCGACGAACTCACCAGCAAGACCAACATTCTGAAGAAGTTCGTCGAGCAGGTCGTCGAGAAGGTCAAGGAGACCAAGGACGAGCTGTAAATAGCCAGCCTCGCATCCAACCAAATACGTCAAAATGAGCCAACGCTGCACATGGAAAACAGGAACAAGTAGTTTTGGAAGACTGGGGTCGCAGCGTTCTGATTTAGCATGACATGTTCGCGGCCCAGCCGCCCCGGCACCTGAATACACGCACATGAATTGATGCCCTGCATGCAGTCGTAACGTCATTGATAGTCTGCCTGAAGCTCAGGGTCATGGTACAGCTGAGCGCAACGCTCGCCTCGTGAGTCGAGCGACGAAAGAAGGTACGTTGGTAGTGATTGGCCGACTCTAAGCAGGCTTTGCGTTTGAGTTTCCGTCCTTGTCCTTGTCTGTCAGGAGAGCCGTCTCGAGGTTATCCAAGCGGCGAGACATCTCGTCCACTAGAGAGGGTCAGCTGGAGTTGGGGCTCGATAGGCACTCGGAGACGCTCACTCTTGGCGAAGATCTCACTCGATATGCCGGCAAACTTGTTGGAAATGGTGTTGAGGAGCTCGTCGACGGCAGCGTTGACATCACCTGCAGCGTTGCCGCCCTCGGTGTTCTTGGTTCTCGTTAGCTCCTTGCTATAGTGCACATGCGCTGGTTCCGAGGCCAGGAGGGGCAGAGAGGGGCATACGGTAGGGGGCGGGGTGGGAGACTTCTGGTCGGGGTTGCTGGACGACATATTGATCAGCTGCTGACTGTCTTCCTGGTCGATAAATCAAGAGGCTCGATTGATTCCCTCGACACACACGAATGAGCTACGATGTGCAGACCACGATGAGTGCTTGCAATACCACCAGGTCAGGTGTAGCGTGGTGGCTGGTGGGGGGTTCAAGACGTGGTCGAAGGGCGGGTGAGTCGCAGGTGCATGCCAGGTGATCTACGGTTGGCGAATGCGGCAGAGGCTGCTGTGCCTTGCCTTAGCGTGCGACCCACCCACTGCCATCGCGTCCATGGGAGAGTGTGTCAACCCTCCCCCCTGTGGTTGCCAACCCGGCCTTGAGTTCATCTCAACGACTTCATCAACCACCAGTGACACCCTCACCCACAGCCCACTCGCTTGGTTCTACCGCTCACGCCATGCTGCCCCGCCACATGCCAAGGTAGGGTCGACACGAATCTTCAGGAGGATCTTGTTTCCCTTGTTTCCATCGTTTCTCGCGGATGCCCAGCGCCACCTCCCCTGCGCCAAGGGGAGAGGGACAGTACGTGCCGCCAACATGCCGCCACGTCAACCACCGCAGTTCATCTCCATTTTCCTCTTTATAGTCTTTCTGTGGATTCTTTTTAGTCCCGAGAGCCCCAGCCAGTATCTCTCCTTCGGCACCATCCTGGCCGACCGTGTGGAGCGCCACAAGGCTGCTCTCGAACACTTGAATGCGTCGTCCTGGGGCGACTTTTCTCCACCACAAAGCGACAGCCCGAAGGACTTTGCGCCGACGTACGTGAACTTTACGGGGTTCCGAGAAGGGGATGGCCTGGCCTGGGCAGACCTCTCGCGGTTCCAGCAGCAGTGCCAGAGATGGAGCCACAGGATCAACCCGCCCAAGGCAGGCCACGATGGACTGATGCATGGCGAGCGGGAGGCCGCTGTCTGGCAGAACGCTACCGGTATGCTCAAGGGGCAGTGGGTTCGCAAGGATGCCTCTGTCCAGCGAGGTGTGGCTGATTACAACCTGACCACCATGGCGCCGGAACATGCCTGGCCAGGCGTCTACTCATCGTGGTCCCGCAACATCACCGGCCACGAGGGCAAAATGGTGCTCGACATGATCGACACGGGCCGCAACGTGCGGGAAATGTCCTACGAGCTGCCATCTGACATTCTCGACACGGCCGGCGGTACCGTCCGGACGGCAAAGGCGTCGCTCGAAATAGAAGACGTCCACGGCACCGGTAGCACCTGGGAGGTGCGCATGTATGGCGTGCAGTGGCCTCGTACGGGAACAATTCTTCTGACGACGACGAGCGAGAAGTTTGACGGCATCTTCGGCCTGCCGCACCTGGCCATGGGCCCAGACTATTTCCAGTCCAGTCAGAGGCTTCTCAACGAAACTCTTGCCAATGTCGTACGGAAGGAGTCGACAACCTTTTTCAACACCATGAGCCTGCCTTGGTCGTCAGACCCCGTCAATGCCCAACAGGAGGCCCTCGACCCAGAACCTCACTGCGAATATGTGCTGTATGCCCAAGTCCACCCGCCGGACAAGATGAGCCTCAACATGAGGGGCTTCGACCCGGACTACAACAGCATGGCCGATGTCATTCGGGACATCGAGCAAGAGCTCCGTTTCCCAAACGGGGCGCCGGTTCGAGGCATTCCCGAACTGCAAATGTCAGCCATCCTGTGGTCGCCAGACTGCGCGTTCTTTCTAGAGTCAAAGGGACCGCCAGACTTTGCCTCGATTGACGGCCAACACCTCGTCGGCAGGAAAATTGAGGTCATCTATGGTCAGATACGTTTCTGGGTCATGGCTTTCGCCACTGTCTTCTTGGGTCAGGTGTTTCTCTTGAAGGACCAGATGGAAGAATCCTCGACCCCTTCGACGCTCTGTCGCATCAGCTACGCATCGATCAGCATGATGGTGGTCCTGGACGGTATTGTCTTTGGCGGTGCCGTCATTTGGGCGCTCGACGCTGCCATCACCTTTGTCGAGTCGCTCTCCCTGCTGATCACGGCCTTCCTCGCCATGGCCATTGGAGGCACATTCCTCGCGGAGATGCACAAGGTGCAGGAGCCGTTGGAAAGGAGGCGGGCCGAAAGAGGTTCGCCGCGACCCAGCACGCCTCGCCCTTCATCAACACCCCTGCCTCGCGAAGAGTCGCCCGCGGCGCCGAACCCCACGCCCGAAGACGTGGCAACGCCTGCCCCCGAGTCTACGTCGCCCACACCGGCAACCCCTTTGCAGCGTGCCCCTTCGCCGCCCATCATCATCCCCTCCGATCAAGACATTGACGCTGAGATTGAGGAGAACGAGACGGCTACAGCGGCGACGGCGGCTAACCCACGAATACAAGCTGCGTCGGCTCGTAGCATGATTGTCGCCCGCTTCGCGCTCACCATCTCCTTCATCCTCATCCTCTCCATCATATCGACATCCTGGTCCTCTCGTACCCGATCCCTCTTCAGCAATGCTCTCGCCTTTTTTTACGTCTCGTTCTGGGTGCCCCAGATTCACCGTAACATCATGCGCAACTGCCGCCGCGCCCTCTCCTGGCGCTTCATGATCGGCCAGTCGATACTTCGCCTATTACCCCTTGCATACTTCTATCTCTGCGAGGATAACTTTCTCATGGCCGAGCCCGACCCCCGCGCCTTCTTTGTCTTTTGCGCCTGGCTCTGGGTTCAGCTCTGGATCCTCGCGGCGCAGGACATCCTCGGCCCGCGTTTCGGCGTGCCTGCCGGCTGGGCGCCCGAGGCGTGGGACTACCACCCCGTCCTGCGAGAGGACAAGCTCGAGGATGGCAGCTTCCCTGCCGGTCTCCTCTCGTCGCTCGAGCCGGTGCAGGCGGAGCAGGGCAAAGACGCCGCCGTCGCCGGAGCGCGCAGCGCCAAGACGGAGTGCGCCATCTGCTTCGATACGCTCGAGGTACCCGTCATGAAGGCCGCCGAGGCGGACTCTACCGCTGGCGGCGTGGCGGGCGTGCTGAATCGGCGCAATTACATGGTGACGCCGTGCAGGCACATATTCCACAGCCCATGTCTGGAGAGCTGGATGCGATACCGGTTGAAGTGCCCCATTTGTCGAGACGATCTGCCGCCGCTGTGAGCGGCGTTGTAGTATTTTGTACATCAAGCGGCAGGGGGGTTTACATCACACTTTTTTCATACTAGATGATGACATGTATTGGCGTTGTTTTTGAATATCTCTCAGGTTCTGTGGGCCTCTCATCTAGATGCACGAGTCACCCGTCGCGCCCTGAAGTGAAGCCATAGTCTGTGCTGGATGCTGTCAATACGTGTCATTGCGGGCCTCAGCTCTCCACGGTTCTCTGATGCGTTTCGTCTTTAGAGGCAGAATACATTCTGCTGGTTCTTACGGTGTCCACGATACACTGGATGCATCTCCCACCTTTGAAGACGTCCTACCGGGCCGCTTGCAGATCCGGAGCAGCGAAACAATGGACGCGGCACAGCGTTTAAGCGACGCGGCATGCACTGACTGGCCAGGCCAGGGATCTGAACTGGCCCATGCCGTCATCATATATGAATGATGGAAATGCAGCTTTTGTACGTCCATCTTCTACGATGTACTTCTCCCCCGCAAATGGCAAAAAACACCCCTAGCCAGAATAAGGGTTCCAGCTCCACCGAGCTTGCCAGCCCGCCTCCATCCCCACAACAGCCCCGTCCGCCAACTCCACCACGCTTCACTCAGCCGAAAAAATTAACCAAAAATCGCCAAAAACATACAACATCGAGGATTCGCTGGTGGTCACCCACCCAACTACTAGTTCAACCCTTACTGGCTTATCTATGGGAGAGCGGACGGGATCCCGAGTTCTCCAGTAGGTATGGTCGTATGTGCTGGTAGATGGTGCTTCTGGCGCTCATATCGGGTGATTAACGTACGAGCTCTGACAAGAGTGATCAGTGGTGATCCGTGTGCTCTACTGTACAAGGAAGATGCCTTCCGTTCTCGTGTCTCGTCTATTGAAAAAAGAGAGAAAAATAAAAAAAACTCCCAGCCCCCTTAGTTCCACTGCTTGTACGCCTTTTGCTTCTGCCTCGTGTTCCACCCAAGCTTGCCGCTGATGCTGTTGACCCAGTCCTCGCTCCGCCGGCCGTGCGCCTGCACCGAGGCAAAGGGGTAGCGGCTCGCGCTGATGGTGACGTAGTCGCCCGGGTGCAGCTCGACGCGCTCGCGGCCGTCGAAGCTCGCCCACGAGTTGGTGCGCACCGTGTAGGGCACGCCGACGCGCAGCACGATCGTGTCGGGCAGGATGATGGGGCGGAACGAGAGCGTGTGGGCGCAGATGGACGTCACGAGCATGACGGGGTTCTCCGGGTGGCAGAGAGAGCCGCCGGCCGCCAGGTTGTACGCGGTCGAGCCGGTGGGCGTCGAGACGCAGATGCCGTCGGCTTGCACTGATGTGAAGTGTTCGTCGTCGCCAAAGATCTCAGTGTACGACATGGCTGAACACCAGTCAGTCGTCATCTCCAAAGAAGAAAAAAAATTGGTAGTTAAAGAGGCAATACGCACTTGGATTGGGGCCGCGGTCCACGACAATCTCATTCAGAATCTCATAGGTGCCGTCGGGCTTGTGCGTGTGCTCATTGTCCTTCTCCTCGCCGATGAGCTCCTCGACGAGATCCCTGCCTGCATTCTCGTCGTCCAGCGAGCTCGTGCTGCTGGCCGCGTCGTTTGTGCTGATACGCTTCTGACTCCTCATGATGGTGCCCTCGAACCGCAGCCGCAGGCTCACGGTGACGCCCTTGTTGAATGCGTTTGTTAAGATGGATCGATGGTCCTCAAAGTCAAACTTTGTGAGGAATCCGAGACTGCCGAGCGCGAAGCTGAGGATGGGAGGCACGATACGCTGGAACAACCAGCTCGCATAGAGGACTGTGCCGTCACCGCCGAGGGTGATGATGAAGTCAAACGTGTGCGGTCGCGTGCGGCACATTTCGTCGTCCCAGTATCGCAGCCGCTTGGAGATGGACTCGCCGCTGTCATCCACCCGGAGCTCGCCCGCCTCGACGTATTCCGACCGCAGCTCGTCCAGGAGACCAGAGGCATTGAACTTCTTGCTGTCTCGGAACTTGTTCTCGACATAGACGGTGTACCGGACCTCGTGGTCACGACCCAGAAGCCACTTGACCAGCTCCCTAGTCCGAGGGATGAGATCTGCATCATGAATCTTGGTCAGGAGAAAGATGGTCTTGACGCGGAACCGGATGCGCATGCTGCTGAGTCGTCTGCTGAGCTCACGCACGCCCCAGGCCATGTCGCTCAGCTGCTTCTTCGTGAGGAGGCGGCTATGCAGCTCGTCCTTGGAGTGGACCGATTCGTCGACCGCGTGTTTTCTGCGCGCCCGCCATGTTGACTTGGGACTCGGACTTGATAATCTCGTTGCGCCACGCCTGCTCGTCAGCCTGGCCGTCCACATCCTCGCCCGAAACGCCGGGCCCCAGGATATGGGCGCGACTCTTGTGATCCGCCTCGCTGCCCTTGACGTCAACCTTCTCTTCGAGGCCCTTCTCACCCGACAGGTCTTTGGATGGCTGCTGGCCCGGGCGGTCGTATGCACCATGCGCCTGGTAGTGATCCGGGCCGGCCTGCTGGCCTCGAGGGTCGTGGTGGGCTTTCTGCGCCTGAAGGAACTGATGAACCATGCAATCGGTGTTCCGCCTGACATGCCTCGCCGGGATCATCAATGGCGCCTCAGCAGACACGAGCGAGCTTTTGCGGCGGTACGGGCTGCTGGGGTCGAAGGTGACCTGACGTCCATGGTCAGCGGGGGTACAGTCCGGTGATAGCCCTCCTCACTTCATGGATGAAGGTGGGCGTCACGGCCCACGGGAGATGAGAAGAAGACAAGGGAGGGCAAACCTCGACGGGCTTTTGGTACTCGCCATCGCTGCCACTGGTGTGCCCATCATCATCGGGAGCATACGAGCCGCGCCTCTCGTCCTCCTGCCCCTTACTGCCCATGATGTCGAGCTGGCTGCGGTGAGTCCGGTGTGCGCTGCGGGCGAATGTCGCAGGGGGGGAGGGGCGGGTGCTAGAGCTGTCCTTATCCTGGCTGTGGCTGTCTCGGCTCGTTCTCGTAGGCGGGGCAGTAGCAGTGTTTGGAGGGTCAGAGAGGCAAAGGTACGAGAACCTCTCGGTCAACTGGGGCAAACGCTACGAAGGGGCGCAGAAGAGAAAATGCCCTCGAGACTGAGACCGAACGATCAGAGGATTTCGAGGTATTTTCCAACAAGGCGGGAGGCACTCATAGCCATGGCGTGGATGAGTACGAAGGGGGAAAATGACATGGACCAAGAGATGTACCAAGCGCTGAGTGAGCTGCCGCGCTGCAGTGCGTCAGGTGCCCTCAAGCGCCGGGGGGGGCATTCCGCGTAGGGAGTGGACAGTGGACCGCACTGAACAGTAGAGGGAGCTTAGTGATGCCTGTACCTGGAGGAGGGAGGTACCTGAGGGAGGTAGGTACCTGAGGTAGGGAGATAGGTACCTGTGGCGGTGCGCGCTAGCCCGTAGACCGCCATGCCATGCCTGACGTGACGCCGCTGTCTGTCTCGGTTCACGGCGTTTTTGACTCTGAGGAAGGGGCCACTGTGACGTTGATTGTGTCGGGATTCCGCAACAACGCTTATTCATCGCTCCCAACCCGCCACCAGATGTTCATTCAGACACGGCACGGCTCATGGCTGCGAGTCCTAAAGAGTTGGGAGGGAACCTGACATGGATGCCAAGTCCAGGTCTGACAGGTGCCGAGGTGGGGGTGTGTGGCTCGAGCTCTGAAGGTCCAGCACAATCAATCGCTATCGGCCTGGGCTCTAGGTACCTTATCAGTTGTACTTGCCCTGGCAACTTCATCCCACCACCAAGAAGATCAAGACGGGGAGGCAAGGGGCCCTTCACGAACCTCAACTGTACCTCCCGTCTGAAGTGCCGATTGCCCGCCAGGCCACCAAAGAGAGGTTTCTAGAGAAGGCTGCGCTGCCTCCCATTTCATTCCGACCCTCGAATCCACGAAGAATGCTATCCAACGTCTCCCTCCTACAGCAGTCTTTTTCGTCGTTCGCTTTTCTGCGAGTAGCACCCACCGCCAATCCTCGACCTGCCGACCAGGCGCAATCGAGCGCCACCAACAGCGACGCGCGAAACCTTTCAGCAAGCCCGTCAACATGAATTCTCTATGGCCCTCGAGGCCGCCTAAGGAGGATAGCGAGACTAGCTCCAGCGAGCCCAAAGCCGAAGCCGCGAATCCAAGCGAACAACCTTCCGATACCACACCCGAGCAGTACAACCTCCTGCCCCCTCCGCCACCACCGCCCGTCTCCTCGTCTCGCCCCGGCCTCGTCAGAAACTCATCCATCCCACCCGAGGCACCGACAGCACCGGCGCCTCCTGTACCGATGCCTCCAGTCTCCAATGCCTCCCAGCCGCCGACCGACTCGCTGTCTCTCATGCAGCTTAGGAAGATCGTGGCCGAGTTCAACAAGGCCGAACCTGTTGCGTACGACTTTGCCTACGAAGATGCAGGACCACACGAGGAGGAGATTGACGAATGGTTCAGTTATCAATTCTGGCAGTGGGTGCGCCTGAATGCTGTGCAGAGCGCCTTCGAGTCGCAATGGCAGTCGCACTACGACATGGCATCGTGGACCGACGTGGATGACGACGCGAGGACCGACTTTCTTCGCGAAGCGCTTGACAGCCTACAGGCTTCGGAACAGGCCGATCGCTTGGACGCCGCCCGCGTGCTGTTGTACCTCTCGCTTGGACGCTGGGTCGACACGGCCGTCCCAACACGTCGCACACACGGTCTCAAGTCTGCTGCGAGCCCCTCACAGCTTGATGCCATCAAGTCACAGACCGTTTTCCTGACGTCACTTGACGGGCTGCGCATAGTTTGGCAGTCCATCCAAGACTGTTTCGAGGCCTTCTGGTTCGTACCGCCAGCTCCCATGGCCCGGAGAGAGCCCATCCCGCTGACCAGTTCTTCGTAGGTCTGAGGACCAGGGCTTCCCCCAGCCGGGAAGTGCCCAAGACGCCCAGGACGAGCTCCTCAACCTCATGACTGTGCTCTACATCGCCATCCAAGAGACGTTGAGCGACCCAAGCTCACTAGAGGCGACGCGCTCAGCACTACGTATGTGTGCCCCCGTGAGAATGTTACGGCATCTCGCGCCAGAAATTGACATGTATGGCAGTTGCCCTGAACCCCGGCTTGGTCAATTTCATGTCACTCGCGACATCAAAAGTGCGATGGGACGAGACAAACACGCTCCCGTTGAACCAGATCCTCCTCCTTCTCTGGAAGTCTATCCTCCTGGTCTTTGGCGGCATTGATGAGATCGTTGCTGCCAAGAGGGCCGTCAGCGAGACAGACAAGGACGAAAAGTCTGCCGCCATCATCTCAGCATCGCCCCTGGACTACCACACGTTCCGTCAAGAGCTCACCTCTAAATACCCCGCCTACCTACCACCGGCACCTGCCATAAACCTCGAGGCCGAGAGCACCACGATCCTCCCCCCTCCATCGAACCAACCCCCGAGAGCGTCTGCGAATGGCATCATCCCCGTGGCGCCAAACACGCAAAGCGGTGGTGCTTCCATCCTCAACCAACCAGTGCACATTGCCACCCCGGCTCCTTCACCTCCACCGTCCCCTAGTATTGGTGGTAAAGGTGGTAAGAAGCAAAACTACCAAACAAACCAGAACTTTCCCTTCATGTACCCGCCCCTGGATACCACCAGCAACAGCGCTGGCGGCAAGGGCGGCGCGGGTCTGCAGGACACATTGGTGGGACGAAAGTGGAAGGGCAGCGACATTCCGGCCTCCATCCTGGAGGCCGGCAACCTCTTCTCCGACCGAGTTCGGCTCAGTCGGGCCATGCGCCAGCTGTGGGATGAGCGTGTCAGGTTTATGCAGACCGGTCGCGGCTGGCAAGGGGATTCCGATGACGACGTCAACAGTATCGATCTCGACCCCGACATTGACCCCGAGGAAGACCTTGGGCTTGACCTCAGCGACATGACGCCTGAAGAGAGGGAGTTGATTGCTTCGCTGAGAGGTGTCAGCAGTAAGCGCAAGGCTGAGAGTGAGCCGTTGGTCGATTATGGTCCTCATTCCACCATTGACGAGGACGTGAAGAGTCGCCTTTTGGCCGTTGAGAGTTTTTACGTGAGCGAAGCTGGTTTTCTACCCCGTGGCGCTTTGGTCTTGAGCTAACCTTTGTACAGCAAGAAATGCTTCCTCATCTACAATCACTAGTCATTGTTCTTCTGCGGCCCATCTTCATGAATGTCTCAGCTCTGTCCCAGCCGGGGCCAGCCCAACAGCATCCGAGCATGGCTGGGAGGGGCGCGAATGCCGGCGTTAATGGCGGTCCGGGGCAAGCGCGGCAACAGCAGGAGCCTTCGGCACCAGGGGCTGGGGCGCCAGAACCTCCAGAGATGTCTCCGGAGGAGGTCGATGCGACGCGGTCGAGAGAGATCCCGACAAAAGCGGCCACCGGAACGCTCTTGCTGCTCCTAAAATGGCTGAAGCTGTCACGTAAGCTTTCTTGTTTTTCTTTGCTCATCTGGTCACCACCAGCTCACATTCACAGATGTCCTCAAGTTCGAATACCTCACACAGCTCTTATTGGATCACAACTACCTTCCCCTGGTCCTGAAGCTCTTCGCGCACCAGGATATACAGCAGGCTGTCGACAGCAAAACGGATCGGATAGAAAACAGGTATGTGTCTGCGCCATGTTGACAGATGAACGAGTCTGACTTGTTAGTTTCTTCCACTTCTGCAACTTGAGGTCCAGCTTGGGAGCCCGAGATGAGCCTCCAGCTGTGCCGGCTCCAGAGGATGAAGATGAATTGATCGAGAGCGAGGACGATGCGGCACCTCCGCCTATTCGCAGGCAACGATCGCCTTCGGCGGTTGCCATTCCTGAGACGAGCGAGGAGGAACACGAGCCGCCGGAAGGTCAAACCTCGGCGCGACCCGAAGTCGACGAGCTCGGCTACCCAGTCAATCCCTTACCGATGGAGCCAATCACGGACTTTTCAAGGCGGAACTTCCTCTCGCTCATCAACTACCTCCGCATCATGCAGAAGATCTGTAAACGCAAGGCGCACCGCAACCTGCTGCTCGTGCAGTACAAGTCGTCGAACATACTACGCAAATCGCTCAAGGTTCCGCAGCAGGAGCTGCGCCTGTACACGCTCAAGCTTTTCAAGAACCAGGTGCCCTACTGCGGCCGTAAGTGGCGCCAGAGCAACATGCGCGTCATCACGGCTGTATATCTGCACGTCCGGCCGGAGCTGCGCGACGAGTGGCTCGCGGGCAGCGACGTCGACGCCGAGGTGGATTCGGCGCTGCCGCTGGAGCAGGCGATACGCAGCCTGACGCACTGGTTCAACATGCGCAAGTACCCCGAGCAGGTAGCCGGTGACCTGCGGTCGGCGTATCGCGAGAAGCAGAGTTTCTTCATGCGCGAGTTGGAGAAGCTGGGTATGAACTGGCACGACGCAGGGGGAGACGAGATGGTCAACAGTGAGTGATCCTTTTCTTTTTTTTTCCCTTTTTTTTCTCTTTATACCAAACATACCTGGAGCTGCGCTAATATCGTAGCAGTACAAACGGGAAGTTACTAGCAGAAGTCTCCGCTGCCGCGTTGATGGCAAGGTTGACCATCTGCGGTATACTGCAAGGGAACTGCGATGACCGAATCACTACATGATATGATAGATGCATCATGACTACTTCACAGCGAGGGATATCATCTTCATGATCAAGCGAAATGATTAGACATTAAGTTGCTGAGGCGGCTATGTTTACAAGACGGGGGTTCTTTTGGTCGCTGACCAGCCTGTGATGACTTGATCACGCCTATGTTTTCCATACATGTGAAGCCGTTCAGCGACGGTCAAAGGTGCCGTCCTCGTAGCGGTACGGGTTCGTCTGACCGGTGTGAACGCCCGCCGTCTGCTGGGGCAGGGGCTGTGCGTAAGCGGCGTCGTGGGTGTGGGTCTCGTTGGAGACGCCATAGGCCGTGCCGGGCGGGACGACGTGGTCGTTGGCGATGCCGTTTCCGGTGCCGTTGGTGTAGCCGTAGCCCACCTCCGTCTTGGGGTGCGAGTAAGGGTGAGCGTCCTGACCCGGAGCGACGGCCGTGGCCTCGGTGTTGTAGCTGTTGCGGACCTGGTCGGGGGAGGTGTGGGCGGGGAGGGTGTTTGTCGTTGTCAAAGGCGCCGGCGCCGTGGGCCTTGCGCTTGCTACGCCAGCCGAAGAGGCCGCCGCCGGAGCCGCGGGTCTTCTTGCCGCCGGAGCCCGAGGTGTAGTTGTTGTCGGGGGCCGGGGCCGAAGCGCTTCTCCTTCTTGTGGTGGCGGACGAGGAAGACCTCGACGAGGATGGAGAGCAGGAAGAAGACGATGGCGATGATGGAGACGGCGAAGCAGGCGCTCTGCAGGCGGCAGGCCTGGCGGAAGGAGGGCAGGTTCGTGAAGCCGTCGGTGCCCTGGACGTCGGCGGCGGAGCGGCCGCGGCCGTAGGGGGTATCGACGTAGCCGTTGCAGGAGGAGGCGCCGTGACGGTTGGCATAGGCGACGTAGATGAAGGCGCCGGCAAAGGCGAGATCGAGGAGGATGGCGATGGCCGAGGTGAAGATGCGACCGGCGAGGCAGCAGAGCAGGACGAGGCCGAGGATGGTGTAGAGCACAGCGGCGCCCGAGATGCCCGTCACGGCGCGCACATAGGTCGCAATGTGAATGTTGTGGTTGGAGAGGGTGGCTAGGAAATAGGAGAAGATGCCGAGGACAATGGCGGCGCAGCCGAACTGGACGCCCCGGATGAACCACTGCAGGAACTTGAGGGCAACACCTTTCGCCATTGTTACGATGACCTGTTGTGGTGGTGGTGTTGTGAAAGATGTGATGTGTGTGTGTAAGGGCGTGAGGAGATCGAAGTGGTCAGCAGCCAAGTTGAGTCGCGCACAGGCAGGTCTCTTGCTAGCAATACTGTCACAAGTGGTTGTTTCGACAGATTCAGATCATGACCCGATCGCTCCACCTCGAACCAGGGAACGGGGGGAGGCTGCTTCATAT